AATGTCATCTACTCGTTTTCATTTAATCAGAAGGACAAAATAAAAAGCTGAGATGTGGGAGATCCAAGTGCGAACAGCAGACTGAATTTCGGTGGCCAATGTCACATTTCTCGATTGAAACACTTCTTTGCAGCTCCCATCTCCCTACCCAAATTGAGGTGTAAGCAGGGGTCACAACTCTTGACAGTAAGGCAATAGCCGAGGGCAGACTGCTGTCAGTTTTGCCTTGTTTTTAACGTTTAATAAGATGATGATGGTAATTAGGAAGCTTGAATAAGAGAAAAAAGCCATAACTTTTCAAAGACTTGCGTCAGCCTCTAGCAGAACATCATTGCTGGCTCGTCAGGTTGGAGTTGCTGGGTGTTAACGTGCCCATTTAGACTGTTCAGCTAGTTCCAACCTGTCCTGTGTAACATGTTTGTTTAGTTTGATGTAAGCTCGCAGCCAGTGATGCCCAAGTACTCTATCTTGGTTTTATCTCCATCTGTAACTCTACTTGTACGAACTGCTAAACCCGCAGTTCTTATCTGTGGTGAACGCTTTTGTCCTTTTGTTAGAGAATGACTTACTGTCTTAGCTCAACTTTTTAAAAGTGACATTTGGGCCTTGGGCCTTGAGGGATGCAGTTAAATTAAAATGAGCAAGTATCCTGTGTGTAAAGGAAAGAAGTCCTGCCAGTCCTCCAGCAGTGGTAGCTCTTTTACCTGGCTCTTTATGGTGGTCTGGTTCTTTGGGAGGTTTTTAGGCAATTCTGCTTCTTTCATCTTTTTCATCCATTGTTATTCCTGTTCCGTACATCTTTGGTCGAGGCATGGAAATTGCAAAATACTAATGCTGGATATACCAGCAGCAAAAGGCCATCTCTGTCCTAAAGAAGTTAAGTGAAAGATGCTCGTATTTATACTTGTGTTTTGCTACTGCTTGACAAATTACCTTTAAATGGGCTGGTACTAGTGCCTATATCTAAGCTCAGTATTCTAAAACAGAGCCCTAAAGAGCTGCATGTTATGGTAGAGCTTCTTGCAGCTTTTATTCTTTTCCTCAAGTTTAGAATTGCTCCAGTCTTCTTACAAAAACTTTAACCAAGGAACTTTGTGCAGACTGTAAACATCTGGGTGCTGAGCTAGCTTTAACGTTAGCGGTTTAGTATTTGCTTGTTTTAACTTATTTTACGTTCCGCAGTATGCCATGGAGCTATCATTCTCCTGAGCTGGTGGTTCAGAGTGCACTGTGCTCGTGGGCACGTTAAGACTTCAGGTTACAGAGCATAGCTCAGCTGAAAGTTCTTTAAGTGCAACTCGCTTTGTTTTGCAACACACTCAATGTCTAAATGGAAGTTGCATGCCATAACGTTTAGAGCCTGGGGGGAAGAGGAGAATGGATTGGCTCTGTAGTGTTACTTGCTCGGTACGTGTGTATTGTTAGGGAGTCATTTAATAAGATATATAGCGTTTAGATAGTAGCTGCCACACCTGGAAGTGCAAATTCTTGGCATGACAGTGTCTTGGAGAACATTTATATTAAGGGTTATTCTGTTCTAGCTGATGGGTAGCATTGACTTTAACATATCCTCCTGTCACCCCCAGCCCTGTCCTGTGTACAAAGACCTCAAAGCAAAATGTGTTTAACTTGTGACTATTTTTTTTTTCCTCCTCACTTTGTCTTTTGTAAGATGTGCCTCCTGGGGAATAACAGAGGGACCTGCGTATTTGGCTAATACACCCTCTTCCTTCTGCACAAGGACCTTTTGAGAGGGAAAGTCTCTTTGCTATCTGGTACTGTACAGCTGTTGTTGCTACCATGAGTATTAAAGATTAGAAATGCTTAGTGTTGTAAGACTGATTATTTTGGGTCAAATTTTCCCCTTGGCTGTAAGGAGGTCCTAAAACTCACAGGAGGTAGGAGCAGAGCCCCTCTCCTGCAGCTGCGCTGTACAGCCAGTCCCATAGGAACTCCCAGATCCTGGTGCAGAATTCCCCACCTACCTTAATGACGATAAGAACAGCAAGGAGTGACGATCTGTAGCTCGCCTCTTCTTCCAAACAGATAGTACGCAGCAGTGCTCCCATAAAGGCACGGCTTCTGGATGAGCCGTAGTGTCATAGGATGTGGGAGGAACAGATCCGCAAGGATGGGATCGAGCTGCCTCAAGGATGTTCGGTCCCCTTGTAGCTTCATGCCATAGTAATAATTTGCTGAAGTTGTTGCAGTTGAAAACTCCGGGTTTTTTTCCTCAAGTCCCTTAATATGTCTTTTTGTGTGGCAGAGAACGGTTTGGACTTTTGGCTCCTAAAATTGTGATTAAACAGCTCTGTGGAACAGAGCGTTCCTTGAATTTGGGTCTTTGCCGGCAGCGTGCTTACCCCAGTCTTTCCCCATGGAGCCACCTAAAAACTCCAGAGCCTGGTACGGGAGAACCTAGAAGTTTTTTAAAATGGTGAAATGGAGACCTTGACTTTTTATAACTGGTGGTCATTGGGTTTTGTAGAACTGTTCCACG